ATGTTACACTTATATGTCCTTTATGTCATATACAGAAGAGGAAATAACTCATATAGAGTTTCTAAATGGTTGGTAACGGTATGTGTATTTTTTGTCAAACCACGTTTGTTTCATTAGCACGTATACCACATCTAATTTCTATTGGCAGGTGATCAAACCCTTCATATTTTAATACCACATACAAATTTAATAACCAATATAACGAATTTAATACAAATATCAATTTTGCTGTCTAACCTGCCAATAGAAATAAGATGTGGTATACGTGCTAATGAAACAAATAACAATCCAAATCATAATGTGTAAAAAATAAACAATTATATGTCTTAGTATGACCTTCAACACAGAGCTTTGGCTCGCACTAAACAGCGTGCTATTGAGTGCCCCATTATTACTAGTGTTAAACAATTCAAACATGAAAGCATATTAAAAGGTCTTCTGTGTACACTTTAAAGAACAGATAGATATATGATTACAAAAAAGGTCTGATTAGACAATTCTTATTTTTCAAACTGTAAAAACTGACATTTTTCTGCTATAACTAGACAAAATGGAGGAAATTCATATATGTTGCTGATATTGCATCTTTAAATCTGCAAATGTAATTAACATTTTTGGCTGACCAATATATAATTAACATTTGTAAATACATAATCTTTATAACCTAATTACAAACAGCAAACAACAATACTTCTAGAATTAATAGTTTAATATACTCATGCTTATTACTTCTGCTTCAAAGTAGGTCACTTACATTTACATGTGTATATCAATAGTGGTTAAACGTACATCATATAGACAAATAATTCATTGTTATATTAATATGACAGAGCAGAGCATGTAATGATTATATAGTGAAGGTAGACGCCTTGCAGGTAAAAACAAAACAGGAAGACATTTTTTATAAACAAAACAGATAGTACATTTTAGATTCTAGAAATATTGTTGAGGAATTTTGACTTTTATTTTTTTAATTTTAATTCATATACACTTCTTTTAAATTGCTAACAATATGAAGATGATATCATGCCTATATTCATTTCTTGCAAATGCAGAGTGCAATTGCTTCATACTGGCTGAACGCTAACAGTATGAATAACATTACAAGCCTTATATCTATATTCTTTTCGATCCAATATTAACCTTATTTCTTGTTAATGGCCAAAAGCCAACAATAATAATAATAGCATGTTGATACAATTCAACAGTTACATAATTCAAAAGATAATCTATTAAATCTAAATGCCTTCATTTGTTCTTTGATCTGGTATACTGCAGTTCCTCTTTTCTTAAGTATAAAAGGATGCATCATGCATTTCTATTAGCTCTATTGTTTCCAAGAAAAACATATAAAAGCTGTACAACATCTTCAATCCTGATTTCAGTGGAAAATCCTGCTTTAGTCACTTTAAGCATCTCTGTAAACCAGCAATACTGCATAAGTTACAGATGAATATATAATTCGTCATCAGTTTAATCCTTTCTCTTTCTTTTTTTTTTCCTTTGTCTTAATCTTAAAATAGAATATCCAGTAAATTACTATCTCACAAAAACAATGTTAAACCAAAAAAATTACAATGGTTAAAGGAACATAATTTTCATAAATATCTTTGAGAAATGAAGGCTTGAAATAAAATGCAATGTATTTTGGGAAAAAATTAACATTTTCAAGTGGCCTTAAACTCTTTTGAAAATATTTTATATGCAATGATTTTTCAAATTGATCTAGACATTGCTCATATGAAACTATGATATAAGTTTTATAAAAACTCTGGCAAGAGAGCACAAATAATGTAATTTTCCATCTATACTACTGAAAGAGGAGACCTATTCCGTTGAGCCACAACTCCTCTGACACCATACAATTATCTCAATTTATTATGAACTTGGCCCATTAGTTACAGAGGAAAATATTTTGTTAAAATTTACAAAAATTTACAAAATTTACAAAATTATTAAAAATTGACTATAAAGGGTAATAACTCCTTAAGGTGTCAACTAACCTTTTTGGTCAAAAGAAAACCTTTATTGCAAAAGGCAAGAGAGACGGGAGAAACTTTTCATACAAAAGAAGAAATTGAACTGAACTTATGTAGTTTAACAAAATTGATTTCGTATGAAATGTAATTACATAGAATAAAACAAAGCATTTTTTATGGATTAACGTCTTTTTCAATCATTTACAAGTAAGTTATAGTTTCACTTTAATATAGTCATGGATATCTTAAAATAATAGCTATCGGTCAATCTGAAGTAAACACGGCCCTCTAGATATTTTCAACCAATCAAAAAGAATATAGAAAGCAAATAAAAATATATTTTCACATTCTAACAGAGCTTATCGTAATGACTAGACGTTTTAAAAAATCTTTAAAAACAAGAAATCGCAAAAGAAAGAGATTATTGAATCTCCGAGAAAGAATAAAAACGTCGATAAAAATTACAAGCATTGAAAAAGCTAAATCTTTTGTCAAAAATCTTTCCCAAAGAGTATTAGAAGACGACGAATGGCTTCTACTTTCAAAAGGGGTAAAATTTATACCTCAACCTAGCTTAAAAGGTTTAAGAAAATCTATCATGAATGACTTTGAGGAATTTGAACGTAAACTTCGCTGTCACTATCTTTTCCACGACAGCAAAAATGATTCAAAGCATCCATTTTATATAAATAGCGGATACAAACCAGCCTATTCATGCGGTACCTTAGAAAATTATTTATTTGCAACAAAGTATGAATTAAGCAAAATTAATCTGAAGAAGATGTCACCAAATCTTAACAAAAATGAACAAAAAGCTCTCAGGAACCTGGTAAAAAATAAAGAAATAATAGTTCGAAAAGCAGACAAAAACTCTACTCTCTGTATTCTCGACAAAAGTACATATATCAAAGAAGGTTTAAGACAGTTAGAAAATGAACTCTATTATGAAGAAATAAATCAATCAAGAATAGCAAATACCACAAAGCTTATTCACGATCTTATCGAAAAATGGCAAAGGAATGACCAAATAGACAAGATAACATATAAATTTTTATTACAGAATTTATTTAACAAAAAAATAGGAAAATTTTTCCTGTTGCCAAAAATACACAAAATTCCACCAGAAATCTTACTTGAAATAGAAAACAATCCAGCAAAAATCATTGAATATGGGTTCTTAGGCAGACCTATAGTATCTTTATGTGGTACACCTTTCCATAATCTATCACATTTTATCGATCGTATTTTATTACCATTAGTGCAAAGTCAGAATACATATATCAAAGATACCAAAGATTTTATTCAGAAACTTGAGAATCTAAACCTAAACAACAATATTTTATTAGCTACATTTGATGCAAGCAACATGTATACAAACTTAGAATATTCTGAGATAATTGAAGCTGTCAAAAGAGTAACAAAGAATTTAATATGCAATAATTATCCATTTCAAATCCCTCCTATTGAAGATATAATAAAATCTCTTAAAATCATATTGAAGAATAATGAATTCACATTTAACAGTAAAACATACAGACAGAGAACAGGTGTCCCAATGGGAGGCGCTGCATCAGCAGAATTAGCTGACATAAGAATGTTCGAAATTTTAGAGCATATATTATCAAATTATTCACATAGAGACAAAATAGCTTTCTGCGGTAGATATAGAGATGATGGATTCATCTTATTTAACGGTAATAAAAACGAACTCCAAGAACTTTTCATAACGGCAAACAAGGCACACAAATATTTAAAGTTCACCTACGAAATATCGTCGGAAAGAATTATATTTTTAGATACTGAAGTATATAAAGGCAAAAGATTTTTGGACTCTGGGATCCTAGATCTTAAGACTTTCAGAAAACCAACAGAAACTTTTCAATACTTAGATAGAAACAGTTGTCATCCTAAAAGCGTATTCAAAGGCTTCATTAAAGGAGAGATTATCCGTAATATAAGAAACACAAACGATATATATGAACGTACCAAGATCATTAATTCATTTAGAGAAAAATTATTACAAAGAAATTATAAGCAAACAGAAATCGATGAAGCGATTATATCTACCTCAAACTTAGAACGAAATGATTTATTGACTAACACTGAAAAACCAGATGTTAAAACGACAATCTTTATCACTAAATATAACCCAGCAGTGAAACAGTTAAAAAGATCAATTATAAAACATTGGAATTTGATAGAAAATGACCCTGAACTCTCAATCATTTTAAGAAGGAAACCAGTCATAGCGTATAAAAGACACAAAAATTTACAAGAAAAGTTAACAAGGCGTGATAAATCATGAAAATGTATCTAAAACTTTATATAAGAAATACGAGTAATACGCATATCAAAACAATAAAGATACACAAACTTGTATACATACATAATAGAAATGATGACATAGATAAAGCCTGAAACGAGGCAAAGAGTTCACCACAGGTTAGAAAAATAAAAAAGGCGTGTTACTAAATTCTATCAAACAGTGAAGCAATTGGAACGATCTATCATAAAACATTGATTTCTGACTGTTGGAAACAACCAATGAGAATCATGGTTAAGGAAAATAATAGAATAGCTTGTAAACGTTCAAGACAATCGAGCTGAAAGTTATAAACCCTAATCAAGTACAAATAAATATACTTGTTACAGATCATTTCTTGTAACTGATTAATATTTAGCAACGTATTAAATATCCGGTGTATGGTCCATAATCTATCACAATCTGTGAAACGTGGAGGCCGCTGAAGATCCTCGCCACGTAAAAAATAAGAGGTGAAACACCATAAAAAATCCCGTAATCATATAAAACATCAATATAAATAAAACCAATGTCAATAATATGTATTCCATGATCTTTTCAAAAAATATTATCAATGCTAATGAGCATACATATATATGGAAAGCAAAACAAATACTTTTAAAATAACCAGCGCATATGAGCATATTAATATAGAAAATAGATCAATACTTTTTGCTTGGGTGGGTTTGGATGACTTTTAATTAAACATTAATAATTGATTACTTTATAGGAAAAAGAAATGTATATTCCTTCACAAGTGAAGACAGTTCTCCACTAAAAGCAATGGAAGGTGAGTGAGTAAAAAAATGTTATATTCAAATTAACTTTATTTTAGAAAAAAACAATATTTAGCTCACCTTACTCATAGGGACAATGTAAGTTGAAACTATGACTTATTCTTATATCCATATAAATGGCTGTCCTTAAGACCAAAGAATTGTTAAACCATTTGGAAACCTGAAGCCTAATTTTTTCTGTAGTTGTCTTGTTTCATAATAATTTATAGGTAATGAAGATTAAAGTTATGACCTATTTGTAGGAAAAACAGAAAAAAAATCCTCAACAAGTGACGACAGATCTCCATTAAAAGCAACAGATGGTAGGTATATTTTCTTATTTCAGTATGTATATATACAGCGTTATGTTGTCCTAGATATAGCTATGTGTCTAGCCTACTTCAAAGAAAAAGAATTAATATAAGGCATGTCAGATACTAGATTGAAGTTTAGTTTATAGAACAAAGTGATCCTATACATGCTTTATTGGCTTCGTTGTCAACAGTTATATGGATCTGCTTACCCTTCCAGAGCACCTGAGATCACCCTCAGTTATTGGTGGGGTTTGTGTTGCTTAGCTTAGTTTTCTATGTTGTGTCTTGTGTACTATTGTTTGTCTGTTTGTCATTTTTATACGCCCGTCAAATTTTGACGGGACGTATTATGGTATACAAATGTCAGGTGTCCGTCTGTCCGTCCGTCTGTCTGTCCGTCTGTCTGTCTGTCCGTCTGTCTGTCCGGCGTAAACATGTCGCACCGTAACTTGAGAACGACTTATCTAAATTTCATGAAACTTAATATAGTTGTTTTTTATGATGGTCAAATGATCTGTATACTTTTTCGTGAAAATAAGATTTAAACTTTTTGAGTTAGGGCACTTTGTAACTAAAACAGGGGTGTGTTTTTTTTCACATGTCGCGCTGTATCTCAAAAACGATTTATGATTATTGCTTAAAACTTTACACACTTCTTTGTTATATTAAACTGAAGATCTGTAAACTTTTTGGTGATGACTCAAAATTTTATTTTTGAGTTATTGAGTATTTTGTAAAAAAGGGGAGGTTTTTTTTTTTACATGTCGCGCCGTATCTCAAAAGCAATTTATGATTATTGCTTGAAACTGTACACACTTCTTTGTTATATTAATCTTAAGATCTGTATACTCTTTGGTTTCATACAAAATTTCATTTTAGTGATATTTGTAAAAAAAAAAACAGAGTGGGGGGGTTTCACATGTCCCGTCGTGTCTCAAAAACAATAAATGGTTATTGCTTAAAACTTTCTCAGAAACTATTTATGATTATTGCATAAAACTTTCACACAAGACGTCGGGCGTATCATGCGCTCATGGCGCAGCTGTTTATTGTTTTTAACCATAGCATTGTCAGTTTATTTTCAATTTATGAGTTTGACTGTCCCTCTGGAATCTTTCGCCTCTCTTTAAGGTTCAATCTGTGGTTACAGTCTTTTGAGAAATCAAACATTGTGTCAAACCTTCATGAAATTTTATGAAATTTGAAAAGAAGGTTGTTTATGACCAACTGACAGTATTCAGAGCAAAGTTTTGAAAATAATCATATAAATATATAGTATACTGTATACATATGTTTGAAGGACTTTATTGGATAATGATTTTTGTAGGGAGAAGAAATTTGAATATTTTACCAAGTGCGGAAAGTTCTCCAGTAAAAGCAACATATGGTGAGTATGAATTTTAACTAGACATTTTTAACATCCGGATTAAATTAATGTGACAAATTTTTTTCTGGGCTTTTAATGAAAATACATAGAAACCATATATTTTCAGTATCAGGGTAAGATTAACTGTTTTTTGACACCTTCATTGTCTACTTTTCACCTTTCTTATGTTTCTTTTCAACTAATACCACTTGTAATTAAGAATGTAAAGACCTATATAAGTCTCTGAACAATTGGTTAAGATTGTTATTTTATTCAAAGTAAAATTGAGAATGGAAATAGGGAATGTGTCAAACAGACAAAAACATGACCGAAGAGCAGAAAACAGCCAAAGGCCACAATTGGTCTTCAATACAGCTGGGCCCTAAAAAAAAATGTGTACTAGTCTAGTGATAACTGATGTCAATCTAAACTCTGAAATATATTAATGAACTAAACTTAAAAATCAATCAAGATGAACAAAGGCCAGAGGCTTCTAACTTAGGACAGGTGCAAAAATGGGATTGGTTAAACATGTTATTTTGAGATATCCCCTATGCCTCTTGCCAATACAGAAAATACAAACACACAGCAATATTCACAGTAAAAGAATAGGTAACAAAAGAAACTGAAAAAAATGACAATGGTACATAAATTAACAAGTAATACTAGCATTTACTGACAGGCCAGCTCAAAACTTGGATTAAACTGACTGAAAGTTAATGTCTTCATCATATGAATATCAATCTCAATTCCTCCTGTTAGTGATTAAGTATCATTACATCATAAAATATATGAGAAGTACATAACCCCGTCTCTTGCAATGACCCCCATTAGTGAATCAATATTAAAGCTAAAATTTGCCATCTTTAATAACATGAAAACAGAATCGTAAATATATCCCTTTTTTAATAGGTCTTTTTAAAGATTTTGAGTTGAAAGCTGACATTTTTTTGCGTTTGTAAATAATTTAACCGTATTGGATTTGAAACACTAGAAAGTATACGAAGTCTGCATGCTGATTTCTATTTATGAATGATGACCTTGTACTTATGATAAGATTTAGTAAATGTTTTGACTAGTTTATGATATCTAAAACCCTTGTGTAATTATTTTTCAGTAATACATAGATTTCTTTCGCTAAAATCTAGTACATTGTTACATACACAAGCGAAATTGTAAAAGTTGAAATATAAACACCATAAGATGGTGAAAAAGGAATGTCACCATCTAAAAATGGATAATTAACCATATGAAATGTTTACTTTTTCAGATTTAAATGATGCTATAGATGTGTGCCCAATTTTAGAAAAGACCAGTGAAATTACTGGAGACGGTGAAAAGATAAGTGAAACTACTGGACAAGGTGAAAAGATTAGTGAAACTACTGGACAAGGTGAAAAGATTAGTGAAACTACTGGACAAGGTGAAAAGATTAGTGAAACTACTGGACAATGTGAAAAGATTAGTGAAATTACTGGAGATAGTGAAAAGATAGGTGAAACTACTGGACAAGGTGGAAAGATTAGTGAAACTACTGAAAATGGTAAATATTCTGAAGTTTTTACAATATCAAATCAGTCAAAGGTTGTATTGGTGACTGTGGCTTCTCTTCAAATTTTTGAGATGGCCACCATATACTTAAAATTGGAAGATTGTGTAAGGCTGAAGGTTTTATAATATCTCTTAGTATTTAATACAATGGACCCAATAGAGATTGTTTGCATCTCACTGATATTTACTTTACCATAGGGCAGATGTTTTATGAATGTGATAGTTTAGTTTCCTTATGCAACAATCTTTCTCAGGTGCTTTGCTGTTATTTTGATAGTTATTTTTGAAATGAATGATAACTGATTAAACAGATTTAAGGTGTGTGAAAACAAATTTCAGCTTCATAATGCAAAATTTAAAGAAGTTGAAATAATGACAAAATTGATAATGGAAATTGGGAATGTGTAAAAAAGCAATAATCCAACCAAAGAGCAGAAACATCTGAAGACCCCCTTTGGGTCTTAAACACAGAGAGAAAATCCAACACCTTTAGCTGGCAACTTATAAAAAATGTATACTAGTGCAGTGAAAATTGACGCCACACTATTATTATCCAAAACATATAAAAAAACTAAACAAATAAGTGTCCCAGGTTAGGTGAGGGTTGAGATTCCCCTAACTGGGTATTAGGGGAATAGAAATTTGTTGTACCCTGAGATAAAGCTGAGGGTAATAGTTGTATCTAAGAGGACAATAAACTTATTTTTCCACAAATATCCATTCAGTAAGACTTTTATTATACTGAAAGAAACAACATACACAAAATAATGCCAGGGACTGAAGGGCATAGTTGACCATAATTCATTTATACAAATGTAAGAGACAGCATACACATTGTGATGACACCTTGTCTATCTCTTCTAAGGTATTGGAATGCTATCTTTTCTTTTAAGGTAATCAGAAATAATTTTTTGTCAGTTTTAATGAACGAATATGTGTTTTTGGCATCCTAATGCAGATCAAAGTGAAAGATCCAAAATATATTTTATATGCCTTGGACAATATATTTGTTTCATTAAAAACAAGTTGTTGTTTTGAACTGTACTTGGATAATCTAAGTATAAGTTGATCTGAATATATGATATAGTTTCCAAGTATTTACAAAGTAAGAAAAGTTATCTGTTCCTGATACTGTAGATTCATTTATTTTCGTGGGTACCTATTTTCGTGGATTAAGGAAAACTTACATGTTCGTGGATATTTGATTTCGTGGTTTTGCCGAAGTCTGCATATAAGCCTATAGAAAATTTATTATTCGTTGAACATTTAATTTCGTGGTTCACCTGTACACACGAAATCCACGAAAATTGGTATCCAACGAATAATAATGAATCCACAGTATGTCATGTGATTTAAGCAATATAAAAGTTTTTTTGCTAATATAATAAATTTATCTTTCTAGGAAGAAAAAGAACAAGTTGTTCTTCAAAAAATGAAAAAGTGGATGCAACAGAATCCAAGAAGTGCACAGTAAGACTGACTGATATTGGTACTATTAAAAACTTGAAAACATATGTTGATAAGACAGAGAAAAAAAGAAAAAGAAGAAAGATATGTCTAAAGAACTTGTAAAATAATATATGTAATATGTTAAGTTTTAAATAAGTTCATCTGATATGAAACAACAAATTCAGGATACTTTGTGTCATATTTCAAATAAGTTGAATGGATATCTACTTTTATGATAAAACTATGATATTTCAAAAAGTTGTAAATATTTTTTTGTCTAATTTATGAAAATCAGTAATAGAATAAGGAAAAAAGTGTAAATATATTAATATATAACAAAATCCCTTCAAGAAAATCTTGACCTTTAGCTTAGTCATGCAGTTCTATGACAGCAGAACTTGTTTTATGTTATAGTAGCAACTTAAATATAAGTATGACCAAATGCTAAGCAAATAATAGAAATCAGGAAAGAGAACACATTGTTGTGTATTAATTCTGTGGGACTTGATTATTTATCTAAAGTTTTTCAATAGTGTTAATGTATGTCATGTCTGCAAATTTTCTACACTAATATTTTTCAATGTTAAATTTTTTTCCATCAAGTAAATGAGTCTGCAATACAAACAAAAGAGTGTATTGCACAGTTCTTTCCATTAAGGTCATGTGTATTCATTTATGCACAAAAAAAGTCATAACTATAAGTATTGCTTTTATAACTGTGTAATGTTTACCCTCCTATATCAAGTATATTGGCCAAGAAACTTGAGAAAAAAGTTCAAATTCTGTAAAGTTTTGCTTGAGCCGGATTTTTTCAGCAAGAAATTATTATATATATATAAAGAAGTTCAAGTCAAATATGAACTTGATTTTTACATTATACTATATATAGATATAATACTTTTACTTAATCATGCTCCTCGGATATACAAGTTGTCCAATTATTGAATTGAATAAAAGACAAATATTGGTGTGTAACGATCTTCATACTGTAAGCGTTCAGCCAGGATGAAGAGGTTATGCTCCAATTGGATTGAGTTATTATAGTTATAAAAAAAGGAAGTGCATTCTAGATTGATTGATAGAGATGGAATCTTATAGTTAATTTTAGTTATGATTTGAGGATAATGATATATAAATAAAGTCTATCTTGTGACTTTAATATTTTATTGTTGTTGTTTGCTTAAACAATATGTTAAGTTTTTTGTTAATAAATTTTGTGTCTTTATTTATTCTGTTACATTATCAGCTTTTTTGTGAACCTTCAGAATTTGTGGATAATCTTTTGCAACATAAATGTCAAAATATTCATGCATCATGCATCTTTAATTTTCTTTTTCTTTGCATAATATGTACCATAATGTATATAGAGATAATCTTTTTACCTAATCATTCTGCTCGGATATACAAGTTGTCCAATTATTGAATTGAATAAAAGACAAATATTGGTGTGTAACGATCTTCATACTGTTAGCGTTCAGCCAGGATGAAGAGGTTATGCTCCAAATTGTCTCTTGTTGATTATTGATTAACCCTTAAGGGTAAAGACCTAAATGTTTGGACATTCAAAGAGTGTTTTGAAAACAATATCCACATGATTGTCTGAAGGTTTGCTATGGTGTAGAAGCATCTTGAAAACATATCTGCTTTTATCCTTTTTCCTTTTTGGGGTGGGTAAGAATATAATTCTTAATAGGGAACTATAATTAAATAGTTGGGAAAAAAGGAAAAAGGATATTGCAATTCTATCATGAATAAGCTAATTCTTCATTTAAACTTTGGTCATGATGGTGAACCCAGTGTGGTTACCATTGTGCCCCAGGCCAAAGTTAATTTAGCACTAAAAAGGAGTGAGTTTTTATTAGATGTTGTTAATAATTATATGCAAATGCAAAATGAAAATGATATTGTAGAAATAGAAATTATTTTATCAGAGTATAATTGCAATTTTACATTAGGCTTTTTATTTAAACAATTATTAAATGACAATAATGAAGTAAAAAGATGTAGAGAGGGCAAAACAGCTCATCTTGTTCCACTGATTGAAAAGTTCAAACTTGAAACAGACTTTGTTAAACTGCTTCTGCCACGAAAAATCAGAGCAAAAAATGCTGTTGCCATTCATTCACTTTATATCAAACCAATGTATCGTTCTGTCATTAATGAGTTTTATTTACTTAATTTACATGGAGTAAATTCACAGGGACATATAAGTGCAGAAGATTTTATGAGGTTATTGCACGAACTTAAAACCTGTCATGCTCATTATTTAGTGCACATTTTACCAGTTTGCATTTGTTTGAGATGCACTGAATATAGACATGAAAGACTTAATCAGCTTTCAGAATGTACCTATGCAACACCTTACCATGGTCCTATTACAAATAGCCCTTTCCGTAATTTACCAGTAGGACAACAACAATTAACAGGTGGCAGACCTGGATAATGTTATTCTGTTATTCCATAGTTTACATGTATTACATCTTTCACATTGTTATTTGTTTATTATGCTAATAAATGATTAGTACACAATTGAATATCATTTGTCTTTATTTTAATCATATATAAGTTACTAGTAGTTGTTGATTTATTCATAGACGAAACATACTGAAAAATAATAAACAGAAAAAAAAGATTTGAAGAGGCCATATTTTGAATGAACATTCAAAATATTGTGGCATTTAAGGTCTCAAGGTCTATTGATTATTTAATATTTCATGGGAATGTGTTTTTTTTATTTTTTAATAAATTTCCAAATATAGGCAACCAATGTTCAACAGTCATAATTCGATAAAAAGAAAACAAATCAAGGCTGCAAACAAAAACTGTTAGAGTATTTTAAAGTTTCTCAACGTAACAGTTTTTTTCTTATTTTCCTCCTTACAAAGTCATTAACCATAGACATGGAATAACTTTTATGTTTAGGTAATTAGGTTTCATGATTGCCAATGTTCTACTATAATGTTCCAGCCAAAGACACAAGGATATGAATATTACAGTATAGCCTTTATCATGAAAAAACTCTTTGATTGTATTTAAAGCAACAGTAGTATACCGCTGTTCAATAGTCATAAATCTAATCAAACAATAAAACAAATTCGGGTTACAAACCAAAACTGAACAATCAATTATAAGATGAAAACAACATCAAAAGCACTGAACTACAACGAAAACAAACTCCAAGTTGAACATACATAGAAGCTGAATAGTCAGGAATAACATTTAGCCTCAGAAACAGTTCAAAGAGATTATTCAAAAGCAGAGATCAAGTTTAGTGTAAATGTTGAATAAGATTCTAGCATATCAAATCACACAAAATATCAGAACCCTATAATTTCTGTCATCAATACAAGTGTTCTCTAGAAATTTCAACGAGTGAATAAGCCATATGGTACTAGCATTAAACATCAGCTCCCTTTACAAACCTTAACACAAAATTATAAGCATTCGCCGAAAATTGAAGGGTTTGTTAGCATTGATAGCATGGAGAACTTGCATTACATTTCATAAACAATGCGTCTTTGGAGTGCTTTTGTGGATGCTTCTTCAGCGGCTTCTGCTTGATCTCTGATTTTGAAATGTCGACTTATTTTTTTTGTTTTGTTTCGGACTTTTCTCTAATGGTTGACATTCTTCCTACACCAATGAATGAGAAAGTGAGCTTAACATGCTTAAGTGGAAGAATCGGAATTACAAATAAATAATCATGCATATTATATATACATTCGGAAGCATCGGTATTTCCTTCCAAAAATCACGACTTTGCACGAGTTAACACATACTACTGTATCATTTTGTCCACTATTGCAATTGCTATTGTGACTATGTTGAACGCATCCATCCCATCGAACACGAGATAAAGGATACAACAGATACAGTTAAGTCGGCCTCATATATTGACTTACATCTACACATTGACAATGAGGGTCTAAGTAGCAACATTCCAGCAGCGCCTGCATACGGAGTATATATCTCCAAATTGATACGATATCAAGAGCTGGTTAATAACCGCTATGGATGAACAGTTGATATCAGATATGTTCCTTACGTGGTTACTACAATCCCCTTCCCTTTTCATGAATGTGACCTACCGAATGAGACTATTTACCAGGTTTGTTGAAATAACATAAGCAACACGACGGGTGCCACATGTGGAGCAGGATCTGCGTACCCTTCCGGAGCACATGAGACCCCCAAGTTTTTGGTGGGGTTTGTGTTGCTTAGTCTTTAGTTTTCTATGTTGTGTCTTGTCTACTCTTGTTTGTCTGTCTGTTTGTTTTTTTTTTCGTTTTTAGCCATTGCGTTGTCAGTTTATTTTCGATCTATGAGTTTGACTGTCCCTCTAGTATCTTTCGCCCCTCTTTTGCCAAACAAAGTTTACCTTATATCCTCTTCTGCGTTGTGTCATATATTTCATATTACAGCACTTATAAAAACAGTTTGTGACTGAGGTCAGACTAAGATAACCGTTGACAACAAAAATCTCTGCAATAGTTAGAAAAAATGAAAATAAGGTATATATCGCATGCGTCCAAAGCGCTATTCCGGGTTGATCTTAATCATTTACGCTCAGAGCCTTATATTTGAAAGACGAGGATGTAAAAAAAAAACAACAGAAACAGTTGAAGAGCTATTCGACCAAAAGAACAAAAAAATAAGACAACATAGTTGACGGTCAGCTGCACCTGGTGGACTTGAAATCTTAGGTTTTTTTTATTTAAATATTTATAATTGGACAATTGAAGAGAATTTGAAGGAATTGCAGAATCAAAACTCCTTTTTTTTGCTGGCATGGTTTATAAAAAAAGTCGATATAATATATGTTATTACCAATGTAATTTCAACTGATCTTACGCTTTAATTTGCATATGGACAGTCTTTTTGAAGATGTGTGCAATAAGGATGATTTCCGTTACAATTATAATTGATTTCTAATCACTTATCAGTGTCACAAAACGGATATACAAAAGAGCTGACGGTATGATACTAGTATGGGACAAATAGCTGAACACTAATTGATGAATTTATCCAAAAAAACACCTGTATATAGACGGACTGGTCCATGATGAGCAAACCGGTTAAACACCGCCAGTCAAGTGAAATAAATCAAGTATTAACATCAGAACAGTTATTAAAAATTAAATTGGAAATATATTATAATTGCTTCCTTTGTTGAAACACCATTTAAAAACAAATAATATAAAGGTCATACAATTATTCAAGCATTTAGGAGACAAAAGTCAAAACATAAAAGCGCTTTTAATGCTGAACTCACCTGAACGTTTGAAAAGTCCTTGATTTATCCTTTGTCTAAAGCGTTTGAAAGATAAAGAATTTTGAAGACTTCAAAATGGCGCAAATTTATATTTTATCTATAGTTAAATGGCAAAAACATCAAATTTGTCTGTTTTATAAATTGCAATGAGAATTTTATTTAGAGAAAGAATCATACCAAAACAGGAGGAAACATCAGGAATCTTTTACGTGAGTATTTCCTTATATTTGACTTGTTAATCTATCTGTTTGTATGAGAAAATGTAAACAAAGTATCTACTGGACCCATATGCTCATGTACAAGTTCTATAGCTGATATATATGTTCAAACAGCTCAGTCAATTGTTGATTATTATACATTTTTTTCAAGTATTCTTTTATTCATATTTTGGACATCTTCAATCGCCTGTCCAAAGCCAAACTGAATCCTCGTTAGGTTTGTCTTGTCTTGACTTAATCTTAATGGTTTATATATTGTTTTTAAACGACGTATAATATATGTGGACACAACATATAATAAACAGTACTGCCTAGTATACAATATGAATTTGAAGTATACAAAAGGAGGATGATAACAAACATTTAGCGATAATACCGTGTCACAAATATGCAAATGCAGCTATTGTGTTTCTTTGAAACCTACATGTAAATAAGTACCTGTGTTACTTAGTATTCTTAAATCAAGATACAGGGGCAGATCCAGCCATTTTCATAAGGGGGAACGGGGGTCAAAGCATAAGTTCCAGGAATCTACCCCCCTCCCTAATCTGCCCCTGAGACATAATATACATAACACGTACCTCATATGTGAAATATTTTACATTTACTGTATCATCATACAATTTCGTAAGAAATTAAAACTTTAGCATTTTATATCATGTAACTTTAATATTATAAGAACTTGTTCAAATTTCGAAGAATGCTAAAATTTTAGTTTCATAAATTGAATCTTTTTTTTTGGCAGCTAAAATTTTAGCCGTAAGAGTTTTGAATTAAAATTTTCGGTAGGCTAAAAATTTAGTTTTAATATATAAATGTATTGTGTATTATATATAAAAAGGGAATGCTAAATTTATAGCAAAGATGTTATTTCTTTTCTTTTTATTGCAGGATGATACTAAACCAGTTCGGAATTTTCTTATCTTATTTCTTTAATAGATAAATTGTATTCAGCTGAATTATTGAAAAGCTGAATGCAGTTTCTCTGGCACAAAAGAAATTAAGGTTTTTCAACATGGATGCGAATTGTTTCTTTTTATGAAATGGTTAT